TGATTATGTGTGACATATCTATGAAAATTAGTTTCATATTATTAATTTATTTAATTATTCACATATTATCTAGCATTGCAATATTTGATAGAATTGAATCTTCATTAAAGCATTAATATCTGAAGACTTGGTTATACAATAGATGGAAATCTCATTAAATAGACTAAAGCTCCTAGAAAATAGTGACCTAGGAGACTAACTGTAATGGCTAGACAAAAATAAAAGAGATTTATTCTAATTTAATAGCATCCCTTAAACTGAAGTGGATATTTATCAATCCTAGTTTGCTAACAAGAGTGGAAAAGGGCCCATAGTGAAGAGATTTTGAGAAGATATTGGCAGCTTGGTTGGTGGAGTCGAAAGGCATTAAATGAACAGTCTTGTCTTGAATCTTATAGGTATTGGATGGGCATTATAGGAATGCAGAATGTGATTGGGGTCCATAGGTGTCGAAGCTAGTTTTTCACTTAAGATACATGTTTGTTCCAAAACATCTAGACAATACTTGCGCTAGAAGAGGGAGAAGCCGGTAGAGTTTTGAGCAACTTCGAAGCCCGGAAAGTACTTGAGGTTGCCAAGATTCTTGATGTTGTAAGCCTTGTCTAGAACCTTTTTTAAATTAGTGGTTTCTCTCATGTCGTTACCTGCAATTACCAAATCATCAACATATACGAGAACCGCAGTAAATGATATATCAGTAGGCTTAGTGAAGAGGGAGTAGTTAGATTTGGATTGAAGGAAACCTAAGGATGTGAAAGTGGTGGTTAACTTATAGTTCCATTGTCGACTTGCTTGTTTGAGCCCATATGACGATCTTTTGAGTTTGCAAATAAGATTCTTATTAGGAACCTTGAGCCCAGGAGGAATTTTCATGTATACCTCTTTGTCTAATTCACCGTGTAAAAAGGTCGTGTTAATGTCAAGCTGGTGTAGGAACCAGTTTTTAGTGGCATCTATATATAGCAGTAGGCAGATTGTGTTCATTTTTATAACATGGATAAAGGTGTCATGATAATCTAAGCCCTCGTTTTGGGTAAACCCTTTAGCGGCGAGGCGAGCTTTGTACCTCTCAAGAGTACCATTGGCTAGGAACTTTATTTTGAAGATCCATTTACATCCGATGGCCCGCTTGTTATGAGGAAGGGCGTTAAGTTCCATGTGTTGTTATTAATTAAAGAGTGAAGCTCATTATCTATGGAAACTTTCCAGTATGGTTCTAGAACAGCTCGTGTTGCTTCAGAAATTATGGATTATTTAAGGGAAAACATTAATGACAATAATATATGTTAGAGGAAGAAATAAAGTTAGAAATAGGATATAAAGAATTACCTGTGATGGAGGAAGATAGAGAATCTAGAGTACCTTGTAAGTGATTGCAGTGATAATCTTGAAGGTATGAGGGGGGTTTGGATTCTCTGAAGGATTTCCTAAGGGTAGTAGGATTAATAGAAGTAGTGGGTGGTGTTTGTTGGGGCAGGTTAACAGAAGTTGGGCTGATGGTTGGTTGGGATGATTGAGGAGAAGGTATAATGGGAGTGTTAGCAGGACCAGGAGAGTGAATGTCTGCAATGGGTGTAATGGGAGAATGATATGTTTCTATGTCATCAAAGAAAGTGTTAGAGTTGACAGGGTATGTGTGTGGGTGTGATTTTTTGACCCATATACCCTAGTTTGAAACCCTAAATACCATAACACCCCAGTTTGAAATATATTTACGTGTATACCCTACTTTTTAAAGAGTTCGTCCAACAGAAGGACGAACTAGGGAAATGCATTGAAGATGTTCGTCCAAAGAAATGGCGAACCAGCAGAAAAATACCAGCATGAGTGAGTTCGCCCATTGAAAGGGCGAACGTGTGAAGGATTAAATTTTTTTTTTGTTTTTTAATTTTTTCAGATTTTCAAATAAATATATTTAATATTTTTAAATACATTAATTTCAAATATATTAAATACTCCTAATATATCTAATTAATTTTAAAAAAAATTATTTAATATAAAACATATAAAAATTTTGTATAAAAATTAATAAAGTAGAATTTTTAATAAATTAGGAGTATTTTATTTTTTATTAAATTAATCTACTATTTAACATGTGAAAACTATTTAATATAAAACATATAAAATCTATTTAATTAAACTAATAAAAAATATATTTAATTAATTTTAAAAAAAAAACTATTTAATATAAAACATATAAAATCTGTTGAATTAATTTAATAATAAACGTATTTAATTAATTGATCAAATAATTGACAAGAATAAAATTTCAAGATTAAATAGTTACAAAAAAATTGATTACTTAAATATACATATCATCGAAGATGACCCCCAGTTCCACACCTAGGGGCCCTTCTCTGTCGGTGTCCTCTCCCCAAACGCTCGTTTGCAGATGACTGAGACGAGTCGGAAGACAAATCTTCATTGTGATGTGTTGTCGGGGGGATTGTCTGCCTTGTAGAGGGTTCTGGTTCATCATCTAGAATATCTTCGATGTTAAAATCCGGCATCTGCATCAGTTGCTCCTCTGTCAGTAAGAAATGTTGGAATGAATGTGTTAGTTGTGGTGGTTGTGGGTAGGTTTCGGCTTGGGTTTGTTAAACGGTTGGGATGTAGACGTCATCAGGCGTGAAGGCGGGTTGTGAGAAGGTAGTGTTGAAGGTAGGATTTGTAGGATATTGGAAATAAGGGTTGCTCTGGTCAAAGTTGGGGGTTGTGCATGGGGTGAACTGTCTGGGTGGTTGGAGGTAGGGTTGGGGCTGATATTGTTGGGTGAACTGGGGGAAATTATAGTTATGTTGAGCTGACGAGGATGGGTACCCCCAAAATTGAGAGGTGGTGGTTGGTGGGGCATCCGGATGCATTGATGCGGCAGTTGGTTGTGTGGATGATGATGGTTGCGTCCGAGGGTCGGTCAGAAATTGATCCGGAGCAACATGGACATAAGGAATTGCGCGGAACCAAGTTAAATACTGTTGACTTGGCTTGCGTTCACCTAATACAGAGTCCCCCTGCAAAATCACATGTCTTCTGTGTCTCCATTCTCGGACCTCGTCCTTATTTAACTGTTGCCAATGAACCTTTTGCGCTTTTCGCATGGTCATTGCGTGTTGATCCTTTAGACACTTAGGAAGGGGAGGGATTTGGTGGTCTACTCCAAACTGGAGTGTTACCCTATCTTTTTGATGCATCTCAACGATGTAAAAACAAATAAGGTACGTTGTGGCACTCCAGATTTGGCTATCTTCTAGACGCGGGACCGTGTACTGAATATACGGCCTCCATATAAACTGTCATATAACAAAGAAAATTAAGATGCCATTAAATTGAAGAATCGACCACGATTTTCACTTGGTTTAAAACTTACATCTTTTTCTTGCATATGGTCCAATGCGTTACGATATCCTTGAAGATGGAAACGAGGAGTTGCACGGTAATTCATTCCTCTTTGTGCCCATCTTGTACAATCAAAAACAAAATAATGTTAGACATATTTGAATAAGAAATATATATATTTTACGTACATAAATATGAGTATTATATTACATGAATACCTTTGTGCATATGGATACGAGGGTTCCACCGTGCTGACAGGAGCGAACAATGGGATGCGTGTGAATGCCCAAGAAGTTAGTAGGAGAGCACAACCACTCATGCTCCTAACTTCTTTTTCTGCTGCCTTGAACATTTCTCTGTACAGTTTTGCAAGGCATGCAGAACCCCAACTATATTTTCCACATTCAATGAGATCCCCCACAAAAGGGACCCAAGAAGAATGCAAAAGGTTTTGAGTTTTGTCAGGAAACAAAATTGTTGCGATCACGAGTAAAATAAATAATTTGGCTTCTAATAAAACATCTTCTTGAGTCGGGTTTTCTTTGTTTTTTAAATTTTCATACTCACTTTCAAGCCAAGTTATCCTAACAAAACCTTTCATTTTATCTTCTTCTTTTGGTTCCTTCCCCAAGTAATCCATGTAAACAGAACTTGTTACCTCGGTGGGACCGTTGATGGCTTTGCCATCAACTCGTAGACCTAGTAACATACATGTATCTTCGAGGGTTATGGTGCATTCACCTGTCGGCAAATGAAATGTGTGGGTCTCGGGTCTCCATTTCTCCAATAGAGCAACAACTAGGCTTGAGTCGATTTTCAAACTGTTTATTTTTGAAATGTGTGCGAATCCTGCGATCTCAAGATAAGGCATTATTCTATCATTCGCTCCAACAGGAGAATGTGAATGCACCCTAAACCTCGGGGCATTAATCTGCAACAATATTAAACAAACATTAGTTAGTCACAATTGGTACGCCGAAATAATAATTTGACAAAGAACAACATATAGAATTTGAAAAACTTACACTGTTATTGATATTTTGTGGTGTTCCTCAGTGCTCATTGCCCATCCATAACAATGCCATTTTAGTCGGGTAAAAATTGCAAGATAGTAGAGGAATAGAAGTGAGAATTGCTAGGAAGTAGAGAGAATTAGTAAAAATGTTGTGTAAATTTTGGAGGTAAATAATTTGAATATATAGTAGTGTGAATGAAAATAATTTAAATAATTTGAATATTTTAAAGTTATAGATTGAAGAGACCTTTGCATGGCACCTACTCTTTTTTTGCATGCATGCAAGACTAACTTCTTAGACAATGTCGTATGCATGTGAAACAATTTTTACAGACCGTCACAAGTTCGCCCATGGGTGGGACGAACCAAATATTCCCCTCACATGTTCTCCCTTTTGGTGGACGAACCAAAGGCAATGTTCTTGGAAAGTTCGCCCTTTGAGTGGGCAAACTAGTGAGACTTAAATTTTGATACTCGTTTCCTTTGTATGTATCTTTGAATCACTATATTATAAACCTCTTTTATGCATCAATTACCACAACCAAACTCCCCAACATTCAATCATACACCTCTACAAAAATTCAAGCTCCCCAACATTCAATCTTACACTACAAAAAAAATTTAAACTTCTCAAATTTCAAACTCCAAAATGTCACAGAGAAACATAATTACCACATGTCACTTTAACGGTGTTGTTTCGACAAACACTCCTGTTGGATTCTCGTTCAGCAATACGGATACATACGCCTTCAAAATTCATGTCAATTCAGATTTTTTTCATTTTAAGGATAGAATGGAAAAAAAATTGGCACAAGGCGTTGAGGAAATCATTTATCGCCATCCCACCCTTAATGAAGACGACTGTACAATTTTTTACATTATGACGCCAATCAAAAACGACGAGGATATGAAAGCCATGTTTCGGTGCCACATGATGTTTGGTCAGTTACCTACAATTGAGGTGTATGTCAGACTACAACACAATCCCGAAACATTGCAAACTCAGGAGACCCAGTCACACTGGTACAGGATGAGCCAAACATCCGACGACGAACCAACGCAAAACAATTTACCTTTCATACCAGATGAGGAGGTTGGAGAATCAAGTGATGACGATATTTATGAGGAGTTCAGGATGCAAGATATATTTGGTGACAGCGGTGACGAAGACAATGAAGACGAAGATATAGTTGTCCCGTCTACGCAACCGATCCGCGCACAACCCGTGAGTTTGTATAACCCGCCGACACACATGCAAAATATTGATTTTGAAGATGACGACACAACCTCCGTGTTTGGAAGTGCTATTCAAAACCATATAGGTGATGAAATAGCGGTCGGTATGGAGTTTGAAAACAAGGAAGCCTGCGTCCTCGCTCTGCAGCATTGGCACATAACACACTGTGTGGATTATTGGGTGTATCAGTCTGACAATGAAAGATATGTCATTCAGTATAAGAAAAAAGACTGCAGGTTCAAGTGCAGAGCTTCATTTAGACGAAGGAACTCAAAATGGGTGATCGGTAAGCTGTCTGGGTCTCACACATGCACTACGACGTCGATGGCACAAGACCATAGGAAGCTCAGTTCAGAAATGGTTTGCCATAGCATCAGAGAACTTGTCAACAGCGACGCCTCACTTAAGGTAAAAGTGATCGTTGCCCATATTCTAGAAAAATACAGGTACATCATATCTTACCGGAAGGCGTGGATCGCTAAGTGCAAGGCGGTAGAGTCGCTTTATGGCAATTGGGAAACATCGTACAACGACCTACCGCAGTGGATACTGGTAATGAAAACCTTTCTTCCAGGAACCATTATAGATTTGCAAACCCTACCTGCAACATCAAGTGATGGTTCCCAAAACTCCGGAAAACGAATATTCCATCGTCTGTTTTGGGCATTTCGTCTGTGTATACGTGGTTTCGCCTACTGTAAGCCCATTGTGCAAGTAGACGGGACATGGTTGTACGACAAGTACAGAGGAACTCTATTGACGGTGGTGGCACAGGATGGCAACGCAAATATTTTCCCAGTGGCATTCGCATTGGTCGAAGGTGAAACAAAGGAAGCCTGGAGTTTTTTTCTGAGGAACCTACGATTACACGTGACACCATAACCGAATTTATGTCTAATATTTGATAGATATGAATCGATAAAAAGTGCATACAACAATCCTGAAAACGGTTGGCAACATCCACCCTCTTCACATGTCTACTGCACAAGACACATTGCTCAGAACTTCATGCGCGAGATTAAGGACAAGGTTCTACGCAAAACACTTGTTAACATGGGTAACAAAATAAATACCGCTTATCTAAAATTTTGTGGCACGTTTTTATCATTTTTTCTCACATAATTCTTGATACAGGTTACGCATTGACGGAGGCTTCATTTAATTATTATCACGGAGAAATCAGAAGATCCAACACTGAGGCTTTAAATTGGATAGACAATATTCCTAGGGAGAAGTGGGCTAGAGCATTTGACAGAGAGCAACGTTGGGGACATATGACATCTAACTTAGCAGAAGCAATAAACTCTGTACTAAAGGCCACGAGAAACCTTCCCATCACGGCATTGGTCCAGTCTACATATTATCGAATGGGTTCACTATTTGGTAAACGAGGACACAAATGGACCAAGATGCTATCTTCAGGGAAAGTTTTCACAGATGGTTGTAACAAGGGAATGGCTGAGGAGGTAGCCAAGGCTAACACACACAACGTCATGCAATTTGATCGGGAAAGATTCTGTTTCATGGTGCAGGAAAAGATTAATTACAACGATGGTCGTCCAACGGGTACTTTCAGCATTGACTTGAGGAATCGTCAGTGTGACTGTGGAAAATTTCAAACATTTCACTTGCCTTGCTCCCACGTGATAGCGGCATGTTCTAGCATACGACAAGACTATGCAATTCACATTCCAGAGGTCTTCACAGTACTTAACGTATTCAAGGTTTACAAGGAAAGCTTCCTGGGACTACCACACGAGGAGAACTGGCCAAAATATGAAGGTTTCACTCTGTGCCACGACGATTCAATGAGAAGAAATAAAATGGGGCGTCCAAGAAGTAGTAGAATTAGAACTGAGATGGATGACGCAGAAAAAGAGAAGAGACGGTGTGGGATTTGTAGAGAAATAGGTCATATGCGTAGTAAATGTCCCAATGTTGTCGGTCCGTCAAACCGACCGAATAGATAATTATATTGTACTACTTTCGTATTTGATCCATCAATAATTATTAATTCAAAAGAACTTTCAAAATACAACAAAAGCAGCGAACTATAAACATAAAGTTGATCCTTTACTCCACAAACGCAAAAATAAAACTCATGAAGCTCACATAAACTCTAACATACAACAGCGACCAACACAAGTGGATCTGTGACTCCTCTGTTGACTTCACCGCTATGTGCTGAAAATATGCAATGGACATCTTCATCGTTTTCTATACGATCTAGGTAGTACATGTACGTCCCCTCCGGGCTAGCATCAGTAAGCGTTATATATGGACAACGATACTCAATTTTTTTCACCGTCACGCGGCGACCGCCCAGCTGCCGAAACCCGGTGTTAATTGCTGCAACCACGGTTCTGAAATTCCACAGCGGATCTAGGAAAACACTGATTTTTTTCTCAGGTCCATAGAAAACATGAGCTTCCACAGACATCTTTATAATTCAGATAACTTGACACGAATAATAGTAAATCGGATAAGCTTATTTATACAAAAAATTTATGTCTGAGTTCGGTCATTCAGTGACCGAGAGTCTGTAAAAATAATTTACATATAAAATTAATTAAATAGTTTTTTTCTTAAATTAATTTAATAGTGTTTATACAAAATTAATTAAATAATTTATATATTAAAATAATTATATTAATTAAATATATTTTATATTAAATTAATTAAATAATTTTAATATAGAATTAATTTAATTTTTTTTATTAAATAGTTTTTTTATTACTTTAATTACATAGATTAAATATATTTTGTAGACAATATGTTTTAAATAAATAGTTTTAATATGGAATAATTTTTTATGTTTCATATTAAATATATTTTTTATTATTTTAAATAAAAATATTAAATATATTTTTTATTACTTAAATTAAAAATATTAAATATATTTATTTGAAAATCTGAAAAAATTAAAAAACAAAAAAAAATTTAATCCTTCACACGTTCGCCCTTTCAATGGGCGAACTCACTCATGCTGGTATTTTTCTGCTGGTTCGCCATTTCTTTGGACGAACATCTTCAATGCATTTCCCTAGTTCGTCCTTCTGTTGGACGAACTCTTTAAAAAGTAGGGTATACACATAAATATATTTCAAACTGGGGTGTTATGGTATTTAGGGGTTTCAAACTAGGGTATATGGGTCAAAAAATCGTGTGGGTGTTTCTGTTTAGAGTGTTGATAGTGGATGTTATAAGGAAATAAATGCTCACAAAATTTAGTGTCATGGGATAGAAACAGTTGTTTGTTATGTATATCAAACAGAACATGGCCTTTAACACCTTGTTGATTGCCTAAATAAATGCATTTGTAGGATCTAAGGTCAAGTTTTGTTCTATGTCTTATAGAACTAGTTGTATAAGCTAAACAACCAAAGGTGCGTAAAGCATCATAATCAGGGATACTTTTAAATAGTAAAGCAAAAGGTGATTTATAATGAAGTAATCTAGAAGGCATATGATTTATAAGAAAAACAACATGAGCACAAAAAATATTAGGTAAATGCGATTGAAATAAAAGGGCACGTGTAACAACTAACAAATATGTTTTTGTTCCACAACCCCATATTGTTGGGTATGTCAACACATGATGTCTGATGGATAATGCCTTGATTTTGGTTAAAAGATTTAAGAGTGAATTCAAGGACATTCTCTAATCTTAATGTCTTGACACACACGTGAAATTGAGTTTTAACAAAGTTGATGAAAGGTTGAATCAAGTGTGACGTTTCAGATTTAGCTTTCATAAAAAAAATCCAACAGAATCGAGTGTGATCATTAACAACTGTTACAAAGTATCTACGTCCGAGCATGGATGGTGCTGAAAAAGGACCTCATATGTCCATAAGGTCAAAATTGTTAGCAAATTTTGTTATAATATTAGGAAACAAGAGACGTTTATATTTAGTAGCTATGCAAGTATCACAAGGGGTGGGGGATTGAGAAAATTGAGGAATGGGAAATATTTTATTGATGTGAATTAAAGTTTCTTGAGAAGGATGGCTCAATCTTTGGTGCCAAATGTTACATTCATCAGTAGAAACAATATGGATATGTGAAAAATATGTATAAAGTTGTTGTAAGGTAAGGAAAGTGAGAACGTATAAGCCATGGTCAATTAAGCTGAACCAATCTTCTGCAGGGTAGGGATCCCCTGTATGAAGCATTGGTGACAGTTAAAAACATTATTGCAGTTAAGATTTTTAGTTAGTTTAGGGACAGATATCAAATTAGTGCAAAAATTAGGAATAAACAAGACATCAGTAAGGTAAAAGGCATAAGTAAACAACACATTTCCTACAATATCAGTTACAATGACATGACCATTGGGGAGTTTAACATGTATAGGTTTAATTCTAACTAAGTGAGTGAACATGTGTTGAGGTGGCACACATGATCGGTGGCGCCAATGTCAAGAATCCAACTATTATCAATAGATGTAGAAAAAGGAATGAAATTGATCATACCTAAGGTTGAGTCAGAATAGCTAGTGATGTGATGGACCGTAGGTGCGGAAGAAGAAGATTGTTGGAGAAGGGAAAACAAGGCTTGTTGCCGTTCAATAGTAATGAATGGACCTTTAGAGGTGAGTTATTGTGCAGGCTGAATGAGATATGATCCATTATTATCAGAGATTGTGGGATTGGTGAGGTTAGATTTCTTCATGTATGGTGAAAATCCATGCTTTTCGAAGCATGCCTCTATGGTGCGGCCAGGTTTTTTATAGAATGTGAAAACTTTGAGGCCACACCTACGGTCATTAGAAGCAGTCTTGTTTTGCGGGTCCCAGGATTTTCCTTTGGTGACGGTGTTTAGAGATGTGAGCAACGAACTTGTCTTCCTCTACAAGAACTGTAAATTGTCGTTCTTGTTGAATTAATAGAGAGACCACCTTGTTGATCGGGGGAAGGGGTTGCATAAGCATGATGATCGAGCAAACTGTTGAGTATTGTTCATTTAGGCCTTTCAAGAAATGAATGAAGTAGTTGTTCTCACGATATTGCTTGATGGTGGGAAGGACGGTACAAGTGCATTTGACGATGCAGAGGCATGAAGGAATTGGGCGAAAACTCTCCAGTTCTTGCCAAATTTTCTTCAGCGTAATGAAGTATTGGGTGATGGAAGAGTCGCCTTGGAGTGATGTGAAGATATCTTCTTGAAGATCTGAAACCTTAAAAATGTCTCTTTGATGGTAGCGATCTTGGAGTTCTTGTCAGATTTCGTGCGTAGAGTCCATCCATAGAATGATTTCAGCAATTTTTGGTTCAATGGAGTTGGTAATCCAAGCCATAGCCATTGTGTTGCAACGATCCCAAGCCAACATCGTGTGATATGAAGAATCTGGTCGGAGCAAGGTGCCATCGAGGAATCCAATATTTTTTGAATTGGAGAGCCACCTTCGCAGGTCAAGACCAAGAATGGAAATTTTGGTTATTGAGAAAGGGTGAAACAATTGAAACACCAGGATTGTCGCTTGGATGCATGTAGAATGAATCTAACATGTCCGTTTGATATGAGCGGTTTGAAGTTTCAAAATCCTTTTTGGGAGGAGGTGATGGTGGTGGTGTGGGACCCGATGTGGTAGCCATGAGGAAGATGGTGGTTGATGGAAAAGAAAAAGAAAAAAAATAAGAAAAGAGAACAAAATTCAAAGAAGAGAGAACGCGAGGTTGAAGAAAGAGAAAAAAGAATCTTGGGAAAAGGAATAGGATAATGATGTGACATAGCGGGAAAGAAAGAACCAATCACAAATCGTGATTCAGATAGTGGAAAGAGAGAGAATATCAGAGTAGTAACCCTGATACCATATTAACATATTATCTAGCATTGCAATATTTGATAGAATTGAAGCTTCATTAAAGCATTAATATTTAAAGACTTGGTAATACAATAGATGGAAAACTCATTAAATAGACTAAAGCTCATAGAAAGTAGGGACCTAGGAAACTAGTTATAACGGCTAGATAAAAAATAAAAGAGACTTATTCTAATTTAATATTAATAATCGGGTTGATCGTAGGTTTAGCCGGTTGAATGAATTAAATCTTAAACCGCAAGTTTCACCAGTTCGATTTCCGGTCTGATTTTTAAAATATTGGTCATAACACATGACAAGTTTTATTCTACACGCCTTGTTAATATATATATATATATATATATATATATATATATATATATATATATATATATATATATATATATATATATATATATATATATATATATATATATATATATATATATATATATATATATATATATATATATATATATATATATATATATATATATATATATATATATATATATATATATATATATATATATATATATATATATATATATATATATATATATATATATATATATATATATATATATATATATATATATATATATATATATATATATATATATATATATATATATATATATATATATATATATATATATATATATATTGTTAATTTTTTTTATTTTTATTTTAATTTTAAATTGTTTGGATCAAATCGTGTCAATACGTTGTTTGCATATTAGTGTGCATGAAACGTGACATTGGTGTTAGTCCGGTCCGATTGCGATAATCACATTTATGCGTTAGCAATATTATTGTTTTAAAATGTTTTAAAATTTTTCTTTTTCGTTGCTTTGCTTTTTGTTATATTTAGGTCTGTATGATTTTGATCCATGTTGCGATGATCACGTGAAATGTAGCAAACTAGTGGCAGATTTTATCAGTTTATGTGCGATGTTTTATATTTATCGTTGTATTTCGATTTTACACGCGTCTGTTGGTAGCATAAAAGAAATCCACTTTTTGTTCTTACCTATTCGCATTTCAATTTGCAATTTGTGATTTTCTTTAATTTTATTATCTCGTTTTGTCTTTATTCGACTTGCAATGATTGCTTACGTGGTAGCAGTTTGTTGTAAATTTTGATCCAACATCGTTATATTTAGA